TCACGATGTATACCATGTTATATACAATATCAAATAAAGAAATGATGCTTACCTATGAGGGGAAACCCCCCAAAAAAAAAAAAAAAAAAAAGAGTCAAATATCATATTAATACTATTTAACTGTCTTTATATAAGATTAAACTAGTATTTTATGATCTAATTCATAAAACACTAACCAATATACTATAAATCTATAGATTTAATTAATATAATAATAGTTTTAACAATTAGTTATAATATATTAATATATAAAATATTAACAATTAAATACATAAATACTTTTAATTATTCTTATTTTTAATTTGAAAAACTCTATTTTATTTCAAAATACAAATTCTTACTTTAACTTTATTTATATTACTGATTTGGAGAACCACTGATATATACAAAAAATAATCTCTACCATCACTTAATACATTTTACTATATTATAAAAAAATTAAAAATCCTTGTTTAAAAATTTTTTTTCAAAAAACCATAATTAGTTTGTCTTCAATAACTGATTAACACCTTATTTTTAACCAATTATACATCACCAAATATTTAAATACATTTATTATACCCACCAAAGATTAATATAAACAATATTAAAAATGGAAATCCATTCAATCACATAATCTTCTTTTATTAATAAACATCAAAATAAATATATTTTATTAATCATCAATTAAAAAATAACAATACAACTTTAATTTTGCAAATCAATAACTATCACACTTAAACTTGTATCTAAAAATCTTATTGTCAGTTTTATTTATTATGAATAGTAGTTTGGAAATGGCTTGCTTGTTCAAGATCTATTATATCAATATCTCTATTACTATTAATTAACTTATCTTATACTTAAACAATTATTTAATCAAGAATATATGTTATTATTATAACTATATATTTTGGACAGTAGCCTGGCCAATCAAAAAAGCATATTCTTCAATATATTCAAACAAATTGAAACTACCAGAATAGTGTATTAAATAAATATCTTTAATTATATAATTAGTTTTATTATATTCAAACAACTATCCATTAATTAACTACTACCATTATGTACTATTAGCTATTAAGAAGACATGTCATTATTATACATGTTTTCTTATTACTATAAAAGAAAATTTAATTGATAATATAATTTCTAATTATTTACTAATTGTTATTTAATAATATAAACATAATATGGGTTTTGAAAAATATTTGAATTAAATACAAATATATGTATAGTTATTATTACTACTATATACAGTAGAGTCTTTATAAATTAATATTCCCTAAGCTAATATTCTCTCTAATTTAATAAAAAATAACTGGTCCCATTTTTGGATCTATGCAATAAGCTAATAATTTCCTAATCTTTTATTTAATAAAAATTTTCAATCCTGCTATAATAGATTTGTCTCTTTAAATTAATAACATCACATGATTCAAATTACAAATTATTGTACATGTATGATCAACAGTTTTGTAATAACATCTTTTTTTTTAATACGGGTGGCTTACATCTTGTTTTATTAGGTTTATTTGATTGAGTATGTACAAATTTATCTTATACAAATTTCCCACTCTTGTTTTTCCAAATAAAACTCACTAAGGATTTCTCTTACTGCGTGGCTTATTGCCAAATATTGACATATACTTAGCTAATGTGCCAAGGCTCTACCAATCCTATTTCAAAATTGTATTAAAAGAGTATATTGTATTCCAATTGATCCAATCGTAGCTTGATTGTTTTATAATTTTGTTAAGTCCTGATATAAAGGTTTTCCCTATTGATGTTTTTTTCCTTTTTCCCAAAAACCATATCCTTTTTTCTTGTCTGCTGATGTTGTTTTCTTCTTTCTATTTGACAAATTGTTCGCATCTGTTTATCCATTTTTGGTGTAGCTCTTTTAAAAATCTGTTTAGTATGCTGTGTATCATTTCTTGTTGTTTGTCTTTTTCTGTGTATTTTTTAATTGTTTGAATTATCGGTTTGGTTATTGCACTTCTAACGATATAGTTTTTGATTTCTTGTGTTCATGTGCTTTGGTGTTGTTGAATTTCTTTGTTCAATTTATGTTTTGGGTAGGTTGTAGTTCTGCTGCAGACTTCTTCGTTAATTATCTGGTTTAGTATTTTGAAGATGCTTTCGGCATTGTTTTTGCATCTCATGCAATGTGTGTTGGATTCTATTTCTTTATTGCAGAGAATGTATGTTTCAGTTGTGTAGGTCTCTGAGAATCTTTCGTGGAGTTTGTCTTTTGTAGATAGTTCTAAATTCCATAATTTGAACCTGAAGGATCTTGTTATATGATCTTTGTGGTTGGTGGGTCCTGTGATAATTTTGGATGGATGTTTTTTCTGAAGAGTTTCTGCCCAGTTGATAGTATCTCTTGTGTTTTGGTTATTAGTTGTGATTAGATTACATTCCAGCATCCTCCAGCTTAGGATGGGTTTGATTCTTGTGATGTTTTTGCAGGTTACTGGGATTGTATTTTCCAGTACTTGTCTATTCCACTCTTGTGTCCATGTTTGTTTCTCGTGTCTGATGGCTGGAAAGTTGAGAATTGAATTTGCTGTTTGGTTGGTTGTGTCTTTGACTAGTTGGTTTGTTTTGTCATTGTCAGGGTTGTGGTTGTATGCTTTAATCTTTTTCCCTATAAATTTTATTTTTTGGGAGTCTAGGATATATATGATCGTGTTGATTATGTTTTGGTTTTTCAAGGTTCGAATTTGTATATGGTCATTTTGTGTTTTCTGAATTGCATTTAAAGCAGCTTGACTGTTGCTGCAAATGGTGATTGTGTTGCCTGCTGGAGCTGTTGTGAGAAAGGATGCTATCACTGCCAGTTCTGTTCTTGTTGATGAAGGGAAGTTTTCGACTCTTTCTTGAAAGCTAGTGTTCTCTATCTGTGGTATGTACCATCTGAAACCCATTTTTTTGTCTGTGTTCATGGATCCATCGGTAAAGACTGTAATTGTTTTCTTGTTTCCTATCTTGTGTCTGATTGTGGCCAGTTGCTTTAGAGTTGTCGTGAATGTTGTTATCCATTTTTTGATTGTGTATATGTTCATTTGAAGTGTGTCTTGTAATATTCGTGGTAGAGCTAGAAGATTATGGTGTGAGAAGGTGTCATTGAGTATTTTTTGTATGCTTATTGATATTGTCCTGCTTCTGTGGCACAGGTTAGTGTCTGTGTTGAGTCTCGAACTTTTTTTGCTTTTGTGCACTGCTATGTTGATTATGTTGTTAAGGTTTCATTGAAAGATGCATTCTCTTTCTTTCCCTTGAATGTCTAAGGTGCATCCTGTGCATTCTTTAAGAGGTAAGAGATTGTTGATTCTTGTGTAATGTTTTAGTTTGGCTGTGTTGCCTGTAATTGCTTTTTTCCTTCCTATTATACTTTGATTGTTTGTTTGGGTTGCTATCCACTTTATATCTTTTTTATTGGTTTCAATTGCCAACTGTGTCAATATGGGTTGAGCTGTATTTTTGGTTCTTCTTTCTTCGATTATTTGGTGAATTTTTTCTTCTGCTTGTAATTCTGTGAACCATTTTGGTTTTTTCCTATTGGGTTTTTTGTTAGGATACATAATCTCTACCCATGCTGCCAGTCTTGTGCCAGTGTAGTTGGAGATTTGGTTTATGAACATTATTTGATTTTTTGCTAGTTGTTTTCTATGTTTGTTGTATCATGTTTCGCCCATGACTTCTTGTAAAGTTGTATCTGATTTTTTAATGATTTGAAGGGTTTGTGTTGTACCTGTGAAACCCTGTTGTCTCAGTAAAAATATTCGATTATGTGAGAAGTCTTTGCCTGTGGAAAGTATTGGTGTCTGGAAATAAATGCTCGTTATTAGATTTGTTGACCAGTACATGTTTTGGATTTCTTGCAGTCTCATGTTCGTGATTTTCCTAATTATCTTTGTGTTGTTAGTTAATTTGAACCAATTGGTAACGTGTTGAAGAATTTGACAATCTCATATATAAAAGAAGCCATATTTCATTGGGTTGAAGAGTATGGTATTCGGACTTGTATGTGCAAACTTGAGTTTGTGTTTGTATGTTCTGTTAAGGTAACTCATTATTTTATTATATGTCGCTTCAGAAAGTATAAGGTCTGTCAGGAGATAGTTTACTGAGGATGTCCAGACCTGGTTGTGTAGATATCTTAGTTGTTTGTTGGTTATCATTTTTCATTTAATTGTGTTGGCAAATTTGATTGTTTTAGTGAAGATTAGATATGTTTGATATGTTTTGGTTGCTGCTCCTTCCATATGTATTCCAAGTATTCTGATTGCTTGGTTTGGCTTAAGGGCTGTGATTTGTTGATTTTGTATTGTTATGTGCTTTTCTGTTGGTTTTTTGTTGTTTAGGATTATTAAGCTGGATTTTGTATCATTGATATTGATGTCATTGCTATTGAAATATTCTGTGCAGATATCACAGAGTTTTTGAAGGTCTTCCTGACAGTTTTATAATAACATTCAACAATTTTAATTATTACAAATTTATACATAATGATAGATAGTCTAATTGATTAAATTTAGTATGTTATATATTAGGCTTATTTATTTAACTTCATATATAAAATTTTCGCGATTTGTATTACATAATGCCTATATAGGAAAAAAGTGATATTTTTTTTTGTCCTCTAGTTAATCTGTAAACTGTCTAGTAAACATGTCTGGTAACCGCGCCTAATATTGTGTTTGCATTAATTTTCTTGAAAAGTATTTCTAGTAGATATTAATAGCTTTGCGACTCTTGCCATTATTGTTACCCTTTTGAATTGCATAGCCTTGCAAAATCTCAATGCCTTGTGCACCTGCTTGAATGTGTAATATGGGTGCTCAACTGTGCTATCTCCACTCTCCTCTTCATTAGCAACTAAATTTCTAGAACCTAGGCTTGCAAAGAATTCTTTCTTCATTTGCACTTCACAGATCTCCTGTTCATTGTCATAATTGACCAGCTTTTGTCTGGAATCGTATCTGTATACTTGATTCTTTCTAGTGCATTTTGCAACTCAAATATTGCTTTACTCACCTAACTTGGTAAGCATTTAGCTTGTGAACCAGCAAGTCCACAATATTTTTAACAGTTAGCAATTGTGTTGGCAGTCATGTTCAGCTCCCATGCAGACATTATTATGTTGATCATATTGAGTATATCGAGTTTACTCTGTTCAGTCTGCAAGCCTGTACTGAACAGCTCCAACATTTGCAAGGCCTGATGGCAATGGTAATGGGCTTTCAGTATTCTTATGATTCTGCTATCAAGTGGTTGCAATTTCAATGTTATGTTTGGTGGCAAGAACTTGATCTCTGTATTGGCAATGTCAAGTATATCTGCGGTGTGTGCTGAACAGTTATTCATTAGAAGCAGCACTTGGCGTCCAGCCATACGTATAGAAAACCAGTGCAGCCATTCATTAAACAGTGTAACATTCATCCATGCTTTGATGTTAGCCCTATATTCACAGCCAAGTAAACAAATATTAACACGTTTGAAATAATGAGGCCAAGCATATTTGCTGATAATCCAGAATAGGAGCTTTTCAGAGCCGCTTGTATTTACACATGCAACGACTGTCAAGCATTGCTTGTCAACCTTTTTACCTTCTAACTGCTTAGTTGTCAAAAATCAACTTGCTTGTATACGAAAAAAAAGACCTGTTTCATCAACATTAAACATGTTTTCAGGTGCATATATTGAGATCAAACAGTGCAGATCAGGCAATGCATTATTGATAGCAGCAGTATCTGCTAATCCACTTTCACCGTGTACAACAAACTGCCAAATGCTGTGATATTTCTTAAACTTTTGAAACCAACCTGTTGAAAATGTTAAGATTGTTTTATCTGGATATAGATGTGATACAATTTCAGCGGCCTTGATCTTAAGTGTCTCTTCAGTTAATTCGTCCATGTGTTGAAAGTTTAAAATTCACTCAAACAGGTACTCTTCAAGTTCAGGGTACATGATCTTACACTGATGTTGCTGCTTGACATCAATTATTATATCTTCAGCCAAAATTTCAGTGAAACGCTTAAGTGTATTTGAAATTGTTTCTTGTGGGATAGTCTTGTCAAGTGTTTCCCTTACCCATTTGATCAGCTCTGTCTGAGTGATACTTGGTTCATCATGTTTTTTTTGACAGATTGCTGGATGGTTAGACTTGTTTAAGAACATTCTTAAAAAAAAATGAGACACATTTATAGGATATAGCTGCAGTTAGACTCATTTTAGGACATTTTTGAAAAAAAAAATGAGACACATTTATAGGATATAGTCACAACCAATAAGCATCTAGATAATTGTCATGTGACATGTCTCTGTATTTTAATATCTCCCTAAATTAATAGGATTTGCCTGGTCCCAAAGTTATTAAATTAGAGAGACTCTACTATACTTTGGACAGTAGCTTGGCAAATTGAAAAAGTATATTCTTCAATATACTTAAATAGAATGGAACTACTAGAGTAGCACACCAAATAGGCATTTTTAATTATATAACTAGTTTTATTACATTTTTCACTTGTATAGTATCAAATATAGAATTTTTTTTCCTTTTCTTCTTAATTTTCTTTCACTTCTCACTTTATTTACATCCAATAAAAAATTCTGAGTAAATAAGCATAACTACTACTCAACTATATTTAGCATATATAATATTGTTTTAAAATTTCTTTTCAATATTAACTAGATATAGATGTGTAAGCAGGCTAGCATTTAACTTGTATGCTTTTGCACCCGAGATGTTGTGTTTTTCACTAGTGTATCTATTAATACCATAAGTAAATAAAGAAATGATGTTTACCTACCAAAAAAAAAAATACTGTAATTTAATATTTTGAATTTTTATTATGAGATTTTATACTAGATTACAAATTGATTATATTAATATTAATAGTATTATACAAATAAACTATCCATATACTAAACCTCGAAACAAGCCCGCTGCACACACTTTTATTATGGAATCCTGAGTTCTCACGGGCCCGGGAATTTGCATGGATTAATTAATTTGAAAACCTTGACAATCAATGCCGAAAGGAAAAAAAACAAATCTAGAGAACAAAGGCTTAATCTCAG